GTTGCACGTAGGCAGTTCATGTTTATGCATTTCTTCACATTTTAACCTGAAATATAAGACCTTAGCCCATTCAGCTGCTACAGTTCTATAAAAGTCCACCAAAGCATAGTCAAAGCCAGTGGATGTGTTTGTGTGTCTTACTCAACTGGTCAAGCAGCATTTGATAGTTCTGAACATTCACTGTTCTGAAAGTCTCTTCTTGTCTGCGACACCATGTGCTGTTATACATTCATAACCCATTTCTCTCCAGCCCTTACAAAGGCATCTTTCCTTTTTGCCCTGGACATTGTTTCCTTCCTTGACCTACTGCTCTTTGTTTTACTGACTGGTTTCATGTGGGTTTTTTATTTATTTTATTTATTTTTATTTTACATGGATGAGTGTTTTGCCTGCATGTATGTAAGCGTGTGCAATATCATGGAGGCCAGACAAGGCCATTGGATCCCTGGAGCTGGGGTTACGGACAGTTGTTAACCACCATGTGTGTTCTGGGAACCAAACTCAGGTCCTCTGCAAAAGTAGCCAGTGCTCTTAACTGCTGAACCATGAAGGTTGAACAAATTTACTTTCCCACCAGCAGTGTATAAGGGTTTTGTTTTTGCAGAATTCTTCCTAGCACTTATTGTTCTGATGGAGTCATAAAGAAGTTTTAATTTTCATTTTTCTGATGGCCAAGGATTTTTGAACATTTTTTGTATGTTTATTGGCTATTTGTACTTTTTTATATATAGCTTTAGTTTTTTGAGAAGTTTATGTATGAGTATTGTATCATTTCCACCCCTCCCCGTCCTCCCTCCAACTCCTCTCATGTCCCTCCCCTGCTCTCTCTCAATTTTTTGTCCTCTTTTATTATTGTTACACATAATGCATACATTTATAAATATACATATGTATGGGCACTGAGTCCATTTAGTGGTACTCGTAGGTACATGTGTTTAAGACTAACCACTTGGAATTGCATAACCTGTCAGGGAAGTAGTCCCTGGAAAAAAACTGATTCTCCCTCCCTCATGATCCATTGATAGTCTGTAGCTCTTCATTTGGAGGTTAGACCCCCTGACATTTTCCCCCTCCACACTGGTATTTCAACTGGTTTTGTTGTAATGCAGGTCTTGTTAGGCTACCGTACTGTAGAGATTTTGGGTTCAGCTTTCCTATCACGTCTAGAATGCAATATCTAGCAGCATGCCTTCTGCTCCTCTGGCTCTTCAATCTTTCTGCCCCTCTTCCATGATGTTCCCTGAATCTTAGGTGTAAGGTTGCATTGTTTGCGCATCAGTTAGGGGTGGGCATCTGTACTTTGGAAAGCTGTGTGCTCATTTCATTAACCCATTCATCCTTTGGGTTGTTTGTTTTCTTGGTATTTTCTTTTTTGTGTTCTTTGTATATTCTACATATAAATCCTCTGTCAAATGCATACCTAACAAAGTTTTCCCCATTCCACGTCTCTTCACTCAGTCATTTTCTTTGCTGTGCATAACCTTTTATTTTCACGAAATGCTGTGTTTCAGTTCTTGGTATTATTTCCTGAGCTATTGGAGTCCTTTTAAGAAAGTCTTTACTAATGCCTATACCTTGAAATGTTTATGCTTTCTCTGCAGTTCAAATCTCACATTAAGTTTTGGATCCATTTCGTGTTGATTTTTACAGGGTAGGGAATAGAGATCCAGCTTCATTCTTTCACCTGTGGATATCCAGTTTTCCAAGTAACATTTGTTGCTACTCAGCTTTTTTCAGTGGTATGTTTTTGACATCTTGGTCGGAAGTCTATTGACTGTAACTGTGTGAGTTTAATTCTTGGTCATCTTCTGCTGGTACTGTGCTAATTTATTACTCTGGCTCTGAAGTATGACTCAGAATCAGGGATTGTGGTAGTACCAGCCTTGCTGCCTTTACTCGCCATTTCTTTGACTCTCTTAGCTCCTTTGTGTTTTCATGTGAATTTTCCAATTGTTGTTTCTGCTTCTGCAAAGAATGTCATTGGAATTTTAATGGGGATTGCACTGACTCTCCAGATTGCTTTTGGTACAATAGATATATAATTTTAAAAAGTGTTTGAACTATGCATGGGTGTGCAATGCCCAAAAGTAATGAGTTACTAAATTAGAATTCATAAGCTTTGGAAGTCTTTCTATCTTCTGCTGCCTTTTAAAATTGCTTTTATATGTATGACTGTTTTGCCTGCATGTATTCTGCACAGAGATGTCAGAAGAGCATATCAGATCCCTTGGATCTGGAGTTATCGGCCATGTGGGTGCTGAGAACCCAGCCTGGGTCCTCTGCAAGAACCACCAGTGCTCTTAGTCACTGAGCCACCTCTCCAGCCTAGTCTTCTGCTGTCTTAATATTTATTGTATAGTTCTTTTTTTGTATAATTCTTTTATAAGTGTTTTTAACTTCCTTGTCTAGATCTTTCACTTCTTGGCTTAGATTTATTTCTAGATTCCCCCCCACGCCCCCTCTATGGTCAATGAGATTATTTTCATGATTTCCTTTTTTGACCTTTTTTTGAGACAGGGTCTCCCTGTAGCCCCAGCTGGCCTGGCTATTTTCATGATTTCTTTTCCAGGATATTCATTATTGGCATATACGAAAGCTACTGGCTTTTAAAAAAAAGTTGATTCTGTATTCTGTTTGTGGAATGTGTTTATCAGATCTAAATTTTTTTCAGTGTGATCTTTAGGTTTTCTAATGTGCATGATCCTATTTTCAAATAGAGATAGTTTGTTTCTTTTCCTATTTGTTTTTCCATTGTTTCTTTATCTTGTTTTAGTGATCCAGCTAAGAAGGATTATATTAAATAACAGTGGAGAAAACAAGACTTCCTTCTCTCATTCCACATTTTAGTGGCAATGTTTTTATTTTCCCCATGTATTGGTGATGTTAACTGTACGTTTGTTGCATATAGCTTGTGTCATGTTGAGGTGTTGCCCTTCTATTCCATTTTTTTTCAGTTCTTTTGCACTTTATAAAATGGAGCTAAGAAAACCATGGGTCACTGGTAGGCAGGATGACACCTCAGCCAGGACTATTTATACACACCTCTTGCCTCCTATTTAAAATTAAACTTCGTGCCAGGACCCTAAAGACCTTGTTCCTCTTCCCATTGTGGCCACATTTAATAAATCTATTTTCTGCTTCTCAGTATTGCTTGTTTCTTTAATTGGCCTATGGAGGATGGTGGCCGGGCCCTTGCATGTTATGGCTGCCAGGGCCCAGGCTCTGTCCCTACCAGTTCCAGTAACACTTTTATCTTAAAAGAATATTGAACCTTGTCCAAGATCTTTTGTTTTTGCCTCTATTAAGGTGATTATGTGATTTGTTTCCCAAAGGCTATAACGTAATGTATTACACGTACAGATCTGTGTCTGTTAAACCATCCTTGCATCCCTGGAATGAAGTCCCTTTAGTCATAGTGACTGATCTTTTTGATGTGTTGTTGAATTCAGTTTGTAAGCATTTTTTTTATCTATGTTCATCAAGGGAAGCTGGCTCATAATTCTCATTTCTTGTTGTCCTTACTTTTTTTTTTTACAGTCTGGGTAATATTTCTTCATGAAATGAGTTTTGCAGTATTCCCTCTTTCTATAATATGGAATAGTTTGGGGAGCATTAGAGTTTGGGGAGCATTACTAGTTTTCCTTTAAAGATCTGATAAAATTTGGCTGTGACTCTGAGTGGACCTGAGCTTTCCTTTGTGGAGTGGCTTTACTATTGCTTCCATCTCGTTGCTTATTATGCATCTGTTGAAGTTGATTGTGTCCTATTGGCTTAATTTTGAAGATCAAAACTGTCTGTAGAAATTTATCCATTTATTGTACACAGTTCAGTTTATTACAATATAGGTTTTCAAATCGTGCTGTAATGATCCTCTGAATTTCACTGATGACTTGTAATCACCTCCCTTTTCATCTCTAATTTTATTTATTTGTATTTTATTTATTATTTTTATGTGTATGCGTATATGTTGCCTGCATGTAGTAAGTGCACCCGTGTTGTGCAATGCTGGTGGAGGACAGGAGAGGCTGTCAGGTCCCCTGGAACTGGAGTTAGAGACAGTTGTTAGCTGCCATGTGGGTGCTGGGATTCAAACCCAGGTCTTCTGCAAGAACAGTGTTCTTAGCTGCTGAGCCATCTCTCCAGCCCCTCATCTCTAATTTTAATAATGTGGGCCATAGGTTTCTTTTGGTTACTTTGTCTAAGGGTTTGTCAGTTTCACTTTTCCTTTTAAAGAGCCAACATTGTTCCATTCATTCTTTGCATTCTCATTTTTATTTCTGTTCTATTCATTTCTGTCCTCATCTTCAGTATTTCTCTCTGTCTACTGAGTTGGGGTTTGGCTTGTTTTTGTTTTGTAAGACCTTGAGGTGCATTAAGTTATTTGAAAATTTTTGGAGTTTTTAATGTAAGCTTTTATAGGTATAGGTATGCCTCTTGTTCCTGTATCATTTGGTGTGTTTCATTTTTGTTTTCATTCAATCCTAGGAATTTTATATTTTCTTTCCTGATTTCTTTTTAATGTTAATTCATTTTCAACAGTTTGATACATGTATATAATACATTCTGGTCTCACCATGCCCTCCACTCCCTTACCCCTCATTCAGCTGCCCCTCCTTCACCAAGACCCCACTCCACTTTTATTTCCTTCTCCTTTTGGTTTGGCTTTCTAACATTGGGTTTGGCCAGGACTGCCACACTGGCATGGGTGTGGATCTATCCACTGGAGTATGAGTAAGTCACCAATGGAGACACTGAAGACCATGGCTTCCTCTTCCCTAGGAGCCCTCAACTGCCAATAGATCCTCAGAGTGTTTATGACGTGTTTATGAATTCAGTCTTGTTCAAACCCCATGCAGGCAACTACAGCTCCTGAGAGTTCATGAGTACAGTGTCTGTGTAATGCCCAGAAGACAGTTTCATGGCCCTCATCATCATCATTTTGCTCTTTCATTCTTTCTGCTTCCTCTTCTATGATGTTCACTGAGCCTTAGAGGGGTGAAATGGGTGACTTGGTGCAGCTGAGCTCTCAACAGTCCCTTGTTTCTAAGCCCTTTGACTACCATGAATTTCTGCATGAAGTTCACTGCAATGAGAAGCTTCGTTATCAGGGTTGACACAGCAGTAGTCTGTTGGTAAAGCATAAACATTTAAGATGGTATTTTCCATAACATATCCACTTACCAAAACAAATATTTGACAACATATCCATTTACCAAAATAAAAGTAGTAGGTTCTGTCCTACTACCTATGACTTCCCTAGCCATGAACCTTTGGCTGGGTTCACAATACTAGATACCAACTGCTTTCTGTTGAGTGGGAACCCCATAACAATTGTGCCACTATTGTACTAATAGACACATCTTGCCTAACAGTTGGAAAGCATGCAAGGTCGAAAGCTGGGAAAGACTGTTGTTGACGGTTCCCCCTAGCTACCAGCATAACAGCTTCTAGCATATGAAAGCTAGCCAGCAGGAAGGAAGCTTCCAGCTCAGCTTCAGTCTGGTCTCTCCATGTTTTGAATCCCAGGTGTATCATGTCTTCAGCAGTCAGGACTTGCCATCCAGTTCTAGTTGGCAACAAAGGACAATAGCTGTAATCTGTATAGTTTGGGGAACCTCTGGGACCTTTCTAGCCAACGGCTAGAGAGTTGTAACTGATGTCTGGCAATAGGATTTTAATTTACTATCTCATGGGTTTGGGGCATTGTCCACCCATGCATGGTTCAAACATTTTTTAAAATTATGTTGTTTAAGCCAGACATGGTGGTGCATGCCTTTAATCCCAGCATTAGGGAGGCCGAGGCAGGTGGATCGCTGGGAGTTCAAAGCCAGCCTGATCTACATAGCAAGTTCCAGGCCAGGTGGGGCTACAGGGAGACCCTGTCTCAAAAAGATCACCCCCAAATATGGTTTAAATAAGTTTATAATGGGGCCAGCAAGATGACTCAGTGGGTAGATACTGCCATTGATACAAGCCTGATGCCTGAGTTTGATCTCTGGGACTCAAATAAAAGTGGAAAGAAAGGATAAACTCTACAAAGTTATCCTTTAAACTCCATACAAGAGCTGTGGAACATGTACTCCCCCATCATACAGATGCACACACATAAACACACACACACACACGTACTCTCCCCCAATCATACAGATGCACACACAAGCACACACACACATTATAATATGTAAAAAAGTAAAACAAAAATAACCTTATAAAATAACTGTTTTCAATGTGGCTTCTTCATACATCCTTATTTTTTGTCTACCCTCGAGTATCAGTCCTTCTCTCCAGTCTCCCTCCCTATCTTCTTTTAATCCTTTTCACCCCCAGTATACGCTCCCTCTGCTTTCATATTACACGTGTTCTGTCATCCTTATCCTCCTTGATGCCTCTTCCCCCTTTACCCTCACCAAGACCCCTTTCTCACTTCCAAGTCTCTGTGGTTAAGGAAAAATTAAGGATACATTTTGAAGAATTCAAAACTAAGGCCGGGTGTGGTGGCACAGGCCTTTAATCCCAGCACTCAGGAGGCAGATACAGGCAGATCTCTGTGCATACCAGGCCAACTGGGGCTACAGGGAGACCCTATCTCAAAAAGACCAAAAAAGGATTCCAAACTATGATCCAGGAATGAGAGAGAACATTTGTCACTTGGCTTTGTAGGCCTGGGTTACACCACTCAATGTAACATTTTCTAGCTCCACCTCTTTTCTTATGTCATAATTTCATATTTCTTTCCAACTGAGTAAAATTGTATAAATGTACCACATTTTCATTATCCATTCATCAGTTGATGGATATCTAGGCAGATTCTAACTCCTACTAATTGTGAAAAGAACAACATTAAACACAGATATACAAGTGTCTTTATAGTTGGGTTTAGAGTCGTTTAAGTGTATACCCATATCATATCGTATTTTCATTTTCAGTTTCTTTTGAGAAACTTCCAAACTTGTTTTCAAAGAGTCTGCCCTAGTTTATACTCCCACCCACAGTGCGTAAGGGTTCACTTTTCCTTAAACTCATGAAATATTTGTTATCATTTGTGTTCTTGAAGATGGCCATTCTGACTTGGGTGAGGCAGAATCCTAAAGTAGCTTTGATATGCATTTCCCTGATGGCTAAGGGTACTGAACACTTTTTAAAAGTGTTTATTAGCCATTTGTATTCTTTTGTGAACTTGGTAGAGTTTCATAGCCCATTTTTTAGCCATTTGTATTCTTTTGTGAATTTGGTATAGTTTCATAGCCCATCTTTTAATTGGGTAATTTCTTTTCTAAATGTTTAGTTTTATTAGTTCCTTGTGTATTCTAAACACTAATCCTCTGTCACATGTACCAGTGGACCCAGGCTGTGGACCAGTCTTCAACTGGGGCAAGGCCTTGGCGAGCTCCCAGTAAACCCAGAGTGGGAATCAAATATAACTCTGGGTGAGACTGAAGGCATGTGGAGTTCAACAAAATACAGTGAAAGCTACATACCAAGGCAGGAGGCACTAGCTGACCCAGGACAAGACCTGATTCTCAAAGGAAGACTTGATAAAGAGCCTCTAGCCATAAATTCCAATCTTAACAAGGAAAATGATACCTGAACACTACTTAGTCCTCCACTGAACACTGTAAATGCCACCACTGAAAGAAAAAAAAATGGAACTCTAATTTTAAAAATAAAAAATACAAAAGGAAGAAAAACTCAACCAATGAACTAAATCCAGAAACACAAACGCCAGCATGGAAACAGAAAGAATATGGAAAACCAAGACAGCCTATCTCCTCACAATTCATGAATTCCAAAAAAAATGTGAATAGCTTCAAGAGAATTAAAGCAGATGAATGAAATGTGTAAGTCAATCCAAGATATGAAATTAGAGAC